GTGGATAAGCTTCACATATTCCCCCTTGAGTATCTTATCTTTCAACTGAACTTCTGAAATTTATCTATCAGCCATGAAGTTAAGATAAACAGTGCAATGGAAACCAACTTGACAATAAACTATTTAAAAAATAATAATAAAATAAAAGCTCAGAGAAGCTGTATCAAAATAAATAAATAAAGTGAAAAAAAGATAGTGCAGTTAAATGTATGGGAGACAGCTACTCTCTTTGAGTATGAACCCATTTTAGCTAGGGAAAAAGATAATGACCCTCTATGAATGCTGAGAAGCTTATTGAGGACTAACTGCTGAAAAGATGATCATACTACCTCAGTTGTGAATACCTACTATCAGGGCTCTAACAATCTTTACAAATGATACTGAACCTGCTCCAAAAGAATACAATTAAAAATGCTGATCAAAGACCAGACCCCAAGTTCTGCTGCACATAGCATGACTAAAAGAGCTTTAGCCAAAAATATAATCACTACAGTCAAGGAATATACAGTCTCATGAGGGATACTCAAGCAAGTAGTAACAAGTAGAGTAAGTCACTGAATTTAAAGTTATTTAAAGGATTATATTGCCAATAATGCTCAGTAACATTTTACATATCTGCATTTCACCCAACAAGTTCAAGCATAGGAAGAGACCTTTTTTCTGACTATTCATCAAGTAGAATGTGAAGTTCAGAGTGCTAAAGATCACTCACTTAAATAAAGCCTCTGGGTCCTTTTTTTTTTTTTTTAACACATGATAAATTTACTTATCTGCTTTCCTAGTTCACAACCAATTATAATAAGCAGGTGAGAATGGAAGAATAAAGGAAAGAGCTACTAGAAACAGGCAGAGTTGTAAGAAATAATAACTTGGTAGGAGGCAACATCAGAACACGAAAGCAGACAAAAAAACTTGAAAGACACAATCTTCTGGGGCCATATAGCAAAAAGCTGTATGTATTTCAAGAGTCCCCCAGGGCACAGGGCATATTCACAGAACCAGATTCAGAGTGAAGTCTTTAATAAGGATTAGATTATTCTTTAGAGAGTCTTTTTAAAGAAGGTAGGGAAATGTGTCATCCATTTTTAAAAGCAGTTCACCCAAAATGTTTTAAATACTGTTATTTAGTGTGGCTTAAATTTGAACACCTAAATTAAAAGCTTCAGTTATACAGAAGATTGCACTCCACAATTAATGCTGAGTAGAACACTCTAGTTAATGGGAGAATTTTAAGCTTAACTCAAACATTAATAACATGGAAAATATGAGCACCTCATTCCCTTACTACACTGTAAAAATAAGGCCCTATTGTTACTTGAAATAACATTCAAATTATGAAATAATATATTCACCTACAGACAACCAAGAATAACTATGTACATCTTATTAGAAGTACTTGAATTTTGAAAACCATGATTTGTCTCCACTCATCACACTTTCTTCTTAAATCACTCTGTTAATCCTTTCTCCTCACAAGACAGGAAAATCATGACTGTGTGAGGAGTTTCTCTTAAAGAATTGATCTAAAAGCTTAATAAATGTTATTTTAAAATATGTTTATGCATATACACTTAAACTGTATATATACTATATATACTAGCTTTCTCATAAAACAATGTTAACCCACAAAGAGACTTTAGAATTTAATTCTCTTTGTCAACAGAAGTAAAATCAAAGGAATCTGTAAGCTTTTCAGTAAAACATGAAGCTTAAAAGTGACAGAAAAAAATGACTAATGTACCTTATTTTCTATGGATGAAAAATGCAGGCTATAAAAAAAACTACAAGACCTTAAAAAATAATTTTTCAAAGTTCTAAATGGTAGAGAATATGTAGGAAAAATACTTGTTGGTATATAGGAGCCAACATCAGTCTACAAATACTTTGGAGCTGAGTGCGGAATATTTAGAGGCCTCAAATGACCTACTTTCTCTCTACCACAATCTGTAAAAAGCATGACAATATAGTACTTACTTACTAAGTACCATACAAGTATTTTTAAGGCTGCAATACAATGTTCAATGGAACAGAAACAAGAGATGAAATAATTACATACACAATCACAATGTACTGTAATTTAATTCAGGTCCTGACTATCTTAACCTAACCAAACAACCCACTTCAAAAGTTCAACACCATAACAATAGTATTCACGTATAAGGCTTTAAAACAAAGAACTGTGAAGTTACATAATAAGGTTTTAAAACTAAGCTGAGATGGGGCACCTGGGTGGCTCAGCTGGTTAAGCGTGTGACTTCGGCTCAGGTCATGATTTCAAGGTTCGTTGGTGGGTTTGCGCCCCGCATCTGGCTCTGTGCTGACAGCTAGCTCAGAGCCTGGAGCCCGCTTCGGATTCTTGGTCTCCCTCTCTCTCTGACCCTCCCCTGCTCACGCTGCCTCTCTCCGTGTCTCTCTCTCTCTCAGAAATAAATAAAACATTAAAATTTTTTTTAAAAAATAAATAAAAACTAAGCTGAGAATATGCCTAAGTTGTTTAAGTGTTAAGAAAAAGCATTATTATGGAAGTATTATAGATACAGTGGAATTATACGAGGTAGTATTTTCGGGGGGGATTTTGTGTTGGTTTGCTTCTGTAAACTGTTCACAAGTTTTCTAGAACATCAGTAGAGAAACATAAAATGGAAGGCACAGTTCAAAATATTTTTGTTTAAAGAGAAAAATGCACACGCTTCATCTAGCTACCATAAAACATAGGTCTACCATTGCCCTGCTCATACTTGGAGAAATTCAAAAGAAAATATGAACACATTTGGCATGAAGATTATTATTATACTTAGGGCTGTTACTGAAGGTTACTAGTGATGTAGTCCAAGGTTATTTTACATATGTGAAAACTAGAAAATGAGATGTTTGCATGGCTTGTTAAAGGACCTACAACTAATGACAAGGTAAACTTAGAAATCAAACTCTAAACCAACTTCTTCCCAACTTAACGATTAAATCACCTCTAACTTGATCAATAAAAAGTAAAAAATAATGAATTCCTTAAGAGATATGGGTAAGATTCCACAATTTTGTAACTCTGAAAGGCAAAGAAACACAAATGCATAAATATTCATTTGTTCATTTTGCTGAATTAGCAGAGTTACTTAAAACATACAAATGGCCTATAGTGACTTTTTTCCCCCAAAAAGTAAAAGCCTTTTAGACAAAGCCTATCAAACAAATCCCATTACTACTGAGATGGATGATAATTTATATAAACTATCACCTCTTGGGACATGAAGAACAACCTTAGTAACTCCACATAAATCTATACACAAGTTGAAAAACTGAAATGTATTTTAGCTACAATACTAAATATGTAAATTATAACGTCAGCACTGATACTCATTCACCATAGAAAATAATTATGCAAATAAAAATTAATGAAAATACAGCTAGCTCAGACAGCTGTCCACACAAATCAGCACAATGTGACTGAAATTTCTTAAACATAACTTAAAATTTTATTTAAATAAGGTTGAGATACAAGCCCTTTTTTTAGGCCTGCCTCTGATGAGGGAGCAAATGAAAATTAACCTAAAATCAGCCACGACAAAAATGCAGAGGCAAAAGAAATAGTACCCACCACTGAATTTATTCATTCAATATTTACTGAGTATCAGATGCCATAGTAGGAAGGTTTTTTAAAAACTTCAAAAAGACAATTGAGCAAAAAGCTCTCCTGTGAAATTTAACTGTGATGTAACTTTTATAAAATACATTACCCCAAGAAACGCAGTAAATGTTGGATCCTGCTTGAGATGACTGTCATTTAGAAAAATAAAATAATAATTTTTAATGTATATAAAATAAAACTAAGAAATCAGCTTTGCTTATTGTTCTGTTTTTCCCAACTTAAAAAAAATTATATGGATTTAAATATATTTAATACCTGTCTTCCTCAAAAGGTTGCATCCTAGACAGCACAAATGGTAGATTAAACTAATTCCACATTATAATATGGTTTAGAGCTCTAAGTGCTGTAACAGTTAGTGAGGCAGGTCTTTCTGCTATTTAGGCAAACATCTGTAACAGTCCAAGTTAAAAAAAAAAAAAAAAGACACTGAAAGTTAACTGAATGTAAGTCCTAGTATAAATATCTGTATCTATATACTACATAAGATGCCAGACACATTTTACACAGGAAGAAATATACAGATAGAAATGCAAGGAAGGGAAAGGTGTGTTCATTCCCTATTTCTCAGAGGATTATCCATGGTTGTTGTGGAGGCGTTTGGTGAAAAATCTGTTATTTCTGAATACTAGACTTACAGATACTAATTATTCCTTTTTATGTTTCTGAATTTTCTACGGTAAAGGAATACTACATTTATAACTAGAAAACATTTAAGGAGAGGCAGACTTGGAATAAATCATTGACATGAAGCCTCGATAGAAGTCCCACTCGTAAAAACAACTGCGGAAACTGCACTAGCACTGCAATTCAAAAGTGGAGAGAAACACACACACACACACACACACACACACACGCCAGGCTCGTGGTAGTAGACACTCAATACTGGTGGAACGTAATGACTGAATACATATGTAAACAAGCCAAAACAAAACCAAAATGCATTCCGATTTTGAGACAACACAGCCAACAATCACAGTAACGACGACTTTCCCAAGAGCTAGTTGACAGCTTAATGTGCAGTAAATGAAAGAGCTCTTCCTCCCTGCCCTCCTCTTTTACTCTGACACTAGAAGGCACGTTCAAAACAAATCCTCCCCCAGCCCCGCCCCAAGCCTTCTCCTCGCTGGCTTCCAGGGCTGAAACGGACGGAAAGTCTCGGGCCTCGGGGGTGCCCAGACCCCGGCTCCTTTCAGGGCGCTCGCGCCGGTGGACACGCCCGCTGCTGCAGAGACAGGGGCCACAGCCCCGGGTCCGCGCGACCCCCAAGGAGCCCGCGCGCTCGCTCGAAACCCTCAGCCCTCAGCCCGCGGCGCCGGCGGCCCCCTCCCCTCGCAGCGGGCTGCGGGCCGCGCCGTACCTGCACACGGTGATCAGGTTCCTCCTCTCCACCGCAGCATTGCGGGCACTCAGGCTCTTCTTACCGCCGCCGCCGCCGCCGCCCCCGCCGCGGCTCCCACCCAGGCCCCCCAGGCTCCGGGAGGCCATAGCGGGCTGACCCCCGCGCCCCTTTTGTCTGCTGCTACCCTTCCTCCCCCCTATACCTGCCCCCAATGCTCTTGTTCGTTTTTGCGACCCCGGGGACACTGGAGGGTCGTGGGGAAGGACCAGGGACCAACGGATGGTGTGGAAGACCGCGGCGGAACTCGTACCCGGGCACTGACGGCTCACGCTCCGCACCCAAGCGCCACAAACACACACACGCACACACTCAGTCGCACACAGGCACGCACCTCCCCCGCCCTCACGCGCGCCGCCAGCGCGGGCGGCGCGGGCGGGGCGGTGTCGGGCGCTCTCCTGCTTCCCGAGGGACCTCGGCTGCCAGCGCGCGCGCGTTCCCGCGAGCCCTCACGCCCTACCACCCGCCTTCTGCCGCCACTTGCGCCCCAGCTGCTGAGGCCGCGAGGAGACCACGAACCTCGCGCGCGCGGCCCCGCCCGCCCTGCACCTATCAAGCCAATGCCGTCCACCTGGAGCCAATCACGGCGCGCGAGGGGCGGGGCCAGCCGCGTGGCGTTTTAAAGCAGCGTGCTCGGGCACCGCCCCGGCGTGTGGGCAGCTGTCAAGACGCCGGGATCGCGCTCGCGGCACGCGTGCCGCAGGCAGCCAGCACGCAGCGGAGCAGCGCCGCGGTTTGCCTGGGGATTGTGGGATGCGGGGCGCCGGAGAGCCCCAGGCAGTACGCCGACCCTCGTCCGAAGCCGGGCTTTAACCACTGGGATCTCTAGCAGCTCATCTTTTTCCTGCCCTTAATCTCTTCTAATGTCCTCAGCCACAAAAATGCAGCAGTCCGGCCTCATACCCTACCTAGCACTTGACTCCCAGGAATGGAGCAAGGGTTTTTTCTTGTCCTAATTCCCTCCTCTGGCCTGGAAAACAGAGGCAAATAGCCCCGGGGAGGGAAAATGCCAGTAGACTAGCCCTCTTGGGCCTCTCCTGGTGGGATTTCTTTTTTTTTTTTTTTAATGTTTTATTTATTTCTAGGAGAGAGAGAGAGAGACAGCGTGAGCAGGGGAAGGTCAGAGAGAGACGGAGTCACAGACTCTGAAACAGGCTCCAGGCTCTGAGCTGGCAGTCAGCACACAGCCCGATGCGGGGCTCGAACCCACGAACCGCGAGATCACGACCTCAGCGAAAGTCGGACGCTTTAACCGACTAAGCCACCCAGGTGCCCCTCCTGGTGGGATTTCTTGACTGTCCACTCTACATCGCTCCCACCCTAGACCCAGCATGTCCTGTAGCCAGCACTGACCACCCACGTGAGAGCGAGCGCGGTGCTAATGTGCTGTCTTGTCTCTTCCCCCTTCTCCCAGCCTGGGCAGTGACTCCGGTATTGGGTGACGAACAGTGAGTCTAGGCACGGTTTGGCCCTTGGCTTCTCAGGGCTGCTCCCTGAGAAGAGTGGAGTTCTTGTCGCGCGTGTTTGGAATCTAGCGCCCACTTTGCAAAACTTCTCCACCCTCCGGCCTCACCAGCAGTAAGGTCCTGGCCTCTGTTTCTCCCATACTCACCTATGTGGCGGTCCACCTCCCTTGGCATCAATATGCTCAGGTTTTAGAGTGAAATCTGTAATAACTACTGTCCTTGCGGAACCTAGCACAGTTCCCTGCATACATAGGTTCACAATAAATGTAACTTCAAGTTACATCTGGCATTATTTCACTGAAATTTTACAATTTTGGTGACCCCAAAATCCATATAACTTCCACCTCCGGTATTGACGTTTCTGTCAAAGATGATTGTTATAGAATACATAGTTTAGTGTAGATATTTCTGTCATTCATGTATATTATACAAAGGTGGTATTGTTACTTTACGTTGAACACTCTAAAAAGGTTTTGTATAATAAATCTGTAGATAACTAATATCTGAGTTTGAAAAAAAAAAAAAGTCTCTAAAATCATCAAGGCAGCCCTTTCAGCTCTGATTTAACTTGTCCCTTCTTGCTAGACCAACGGTTTAAATTCAGAAGTAGCCATCAGGAAACAGATGCACTAGCTATGCATGCAGTCATTGCAAAATGTTTGCACTGGCAATAACAAACATGACTCAAATTGAAAATATTTTTGTTTAAAAACGAAACTGCAAAAGGAAGAGTGGAAAGCTGTCAATCGTCAAGAAAATTCCTAGAGGCCTATGCTGGTTGGTGCCATGGGAGGGAGAGGACACACAAGTCCTTAACATTTAACAAGAAGACAAAACTGAGTGGTTTTGTCAAATACTGGAAAATGAGGTGTCATTATTCTTAAAATTGGCTCTCTAGCCTCAAGTACATTTTCATATTGTTTGTATTACAAATTTTTATTTATGACTGAAGATTCAGTAAAACTCCATCTTAGATGATTAGATAATAAAGTTTTGTCAAATCCTTCTTGTTCTGGGAATTTGGTTGACATATTTGCTGAAAAGATTTCTTGTTGAGAAGGACATTAATTTTGTACATACAGCGAGTCATTAAACTGCCACATGGGGGCCTTATCTGATAATGCTTTTCCTTGACTATCCTGAGCAGTATGTCCTGGGCATCATTCTTTCTGTACATGACTAATCTGGAAATAATTAATCAATTATATCCACTACAAAATACACTACTACTATAAAGTCACATGAATTTTCACACTACTTTTTAAAGAAATTTTTAACATTTATTTACTATTGAGAGAGAGAGAAAGACAGACCATGAGCATGGGAGGGGCAGAGAGAGGGGGAGACATAGGACCCAAAGTAGGCTCCAGGCTCTGAGCTGTCAGCACAGACAGCTGACTCAGAACTGGAACTCACAGACTGTGAGGTCATGACCCAAGCCGAAGTCAGACACTCAACCAATTGAGCCACCCAGGTGCCCCTTTACACTATTTCTTAAACTTTGATTGCCACCAGTTACAGTCCTTATTTGATTTATTTGAGCATTTGAAAAAAGGTTATCTAGAGATGTAAAAAGACAATAAAAATAATGAAAATAGTAAATGCCTAATTTAAAGTTTAAGAATGCTGTTTGACCAAAAAAAAAAAAAAAATACAGCATCCATTTTTGAAAAACACCCTCAACAAAGTAGAGAATGATGGAGAATACCTCAACATCATGAAGGCCATATGCTAAAGACCTACAACTAATATCGTACTCAGTAGGAAAAAACTAAGAGGCAGAAGACAGGGATGTCCACTCTCATCATTACTATTTAACAACACAGTACTGGAAGTCTTAGCCTCAGCAGTCAGACAACAAAAAGAAATAAAAGGCATCCAAATCAGCCAGAAAGAAGTCAAACTTTCACTATTTGCAGACAACATAGTACTCTGTAGAAAACCCAAAAGACTCCACCAAAAAAATTGTTGTAACTAATATATGAATTCAACCAAATCACAGGATTCAAAATCAATGTACAGAAATCTGTTGCCTTTCTATACACCAATAAAAAAAGCAGTAGAAAAAGAAATGAAGGGATCAATCCCATTTACAACTGTGCCAAGAACAATAACATACCTAGGAATAAACCTAAACAGAGATGAAAGATCTGTACTCTGAAAACTATAGAACACTTATGAAAGAAATTGAAAGGGACACAAAGAAATGGGGGAAAAAAATCCATGCTCATGGATTGATTGGAAGAATAGACATTGTTAAAATAACTACCCAAAGCATTCTACACATTTAATGCAATCCTGATCACCAGCATTTTTAACAGAACTAGAACAAACAATCTTAAAATTTGTATGGAACACAGAAGACCCCAAGGAGCCAAAGCAATCCTGAAAAAGAAAAGTGAAGCAGGAGACATCATGATTTTGGATTTCAAGCTATATTGCAAAGCTGTAGTCATCTAGACAGTATGGTACTGGCACAAAAAATAGACACACAGATCAGTGGAACAGAATAGAAACCCCAGAAATGGACCCATGACTATATGGTCAACTAATCTTTGAAAAAGCAGGAAAGAATATCCAATAGAAAAAAAGACAGTCTTTTCAGCAATGATGCTGGGAAAACTGGACAGTGACATGCAGAAAAATGAATCTGGACCACTTTCTTACACCATACACAAAAATAAACTCAAAATGGATGAAAGATGTAAATCTAAGACAGGAAGCCATCAAAATTTTAGACAAGAAAGCAGGTGAAAACCTCTTTGACCTTGGCCGCAGCAACTCCTTACTCAACACGTCTCTGGAGGCAAGGGAAACCAAAGCAAACATGAACTATCGGGACTTCCTGAAGATAAAAAGCTCTGCACAGCAAAGGAAACCATCAACAAAACTAAAAGGCAGCCTACAGACTGGGAGAATATATTCACAAATGACATATCGGATAAAGAGCTAGTGTCCAAAATCTATAGAAAACTTATCAAACTTGACACCCACAAAATAAATAATCCAGTGAAGAAAGGGCAGAAGACATGAATAGAATTTTTTCCAAAGACATCCTGATGGCTAACGTGACAAGATGTTCAACATCCTTTATTATCAGAGAAATACAAATCAAAACCATGATGAGATACCACCTCACACCTGTCAGAATGGCTAAAATCAATACCACAGAAAACAACAGATGTTGACGAGGATGCGGAGAAAGGGGCTTCCTCTTACCCTATTTGTGGGAATGCAAACTGGTGCAGCCACTCTGGAAAGTATGAAGGTTTCTCAAAAAGTTAAAAATAGAGCTACCCCTACAATCCAGCAATTGCACTGCTAGGTATTTACCCAAAGACTGAAAATATAGATTTGAAGGGGTACATGTACCCCAGTGTTTATAACAGCATTATCAACAAATCCAAACTATGGAAAGAGCCCAAGTCCCCATCAACTGATGAAAGGGTAAAGAAGATGTGGTACACAATGAAATATTACTCAGCCATCAAAAAGAATGAAATCTTGCCATCCCCAATGGTGTGGATGGATCTAGAGTGTATTATGCTAAGTGAAGTCAGTCAGAGAAAGACAGAATTGTATGATTTCACTCATATGTGAAATTTAGGAAACAAAACAGGTGA